TGCGATGGCTTAAGGTGGGCATAGCTCAAAATGTCTCAAACCTGGTCCAGGGGAGGGGGATTTTCAGGGGCTTATTTAATCGATTTTATAGATAGGTAGTTTACTAATACTAATACGTAGAAAATACATATCATTTCTTTCTCTCCCCGACAAATTGTGGTTTTTTTGGGGAGGAGAAAGAAAATTGTCTGGGGGAATTCCCTCTGTGCCCCAAGCGGTGCCGCCGCTGCCTACAAACACTTGTGTTGTCCCACAAACGCACGTTTACGTACATTTACACTTGAGTATTATTTTTGTGGGATCTTAACAATATCCATAGGGTGGTGGTTAGCGGAAAGGTCTAATGTATAAAGCTTTAAGCAGGGTACACACTGTGCCCGACGATTGATTTATACCACAGGGCTATGCGAGTAACACCAATGAGTTTAAATAGAACAAGGGAGCCAACTATGTTCATTGAGAGCGTGAACAAGTTATATGCTCTACGAGGGCAGCGTAGAATGCCCACTGTATGTTCACCCACGTGCTGCACTGCGCATGGTCTGTCTATCAGTTTTCCACATGATTCAGTACTTTTTTCTACTTACCAAGTTCATCACGGGCGTACTTCAGTACGAAAATGTAGAGTTCCTATAGGAACTCTACGCACACGAGTACGCAAAAGAATGCAGGTGAACATACATCTGTCAGAACAAACGTGAGTAGGCTCTCCTGTGCTATTTACACTCTTGGTAACACCAACAATTTTACTTGGAATAAAAAAATAATTAAAATCAAAAAGATAAATTCAAATTTAATAAATGGCACTGAATCTAACAATTCCAAACACAAGACAAATATATTTTTTAATCAAATTAAGCACACACAGTATTTCAGAGTTTGTTAGATTTTAAAGATAATTTATCATTCCTAATAGTAACATATCATTTCAAAATTATATTGAATATATACATTATCAACTGGGGACATAATATAAAATGCAATCAGTTACGTTTATTAGTACAGGTATTTGTAATGATAAAAAAATGTACAGAACTGTTGAAACACTCCAAGTATCAAAATGCACGCCATCGTATCGGGATTCAATATTTCGACATTAATTATGTCATCATCAATGATGACATAATTAATGTCGAAATATTGAATCCCGACACTATGGCGTGCATTTCGATACTTGGAGCATGGAGGAAATTATTTCCTCCATGCTTGGAATATGTATTATACTATCTTATCTGAGATTAATCAGTGGACCTTTTGATTGTTGAAACACTGCAGTAGAAAATTGATGATCTACTTGCAGAGCACCCAGGCACTTAGATTCTTCTTAGGCCTGGCTATTTGATGGGGGAATTATTTTAATGAAGCATAAGAGAAACTACTGACAAATTATGGGGAGGTAGGCTCTTATCTGACATAAAATAGCAATTTGGGTTTTTTTTTTGTTTTTTTTTGACAGATTTCATGGCATTTATTGTAAAGCCCCTGCTAATGAACTGATCAGATCACCTAAAAAATAACTCCTTTATTTGTGAGGAGAAAGACTACAATAAAATCTCAGACATTTAAAAATGTTTAACTTGTGGTTAAGACAGCAGGCTAGTTATCTATGGAATTTCTAACATTGAAATAACTATTAAAGTCAATTAATTAAACAATCAATGGTCTAGTATGAATTTATGAAGAAATTGTTTTTAAATGACAGATATTAGCTTAATATTCATCCGCATTGTCGGACCTTTAAAATTTTGTTGGCTAAATGGTCTTGTCACTGGTTAGTTTGACTGTCGTACCTTACACCTGATACTCAGATTACTACAATCTTGGTTCTCAACCTTCAATATTATGTGTTTGATCCCACATTTTGATATAGCTCCTTTTCGCCATATTCCATCCAGTTAGCCACTCTGTGTAGATCCAAGAATTTGAAATAGATGTACCAGAGAGAGACTTTGACCACCATGGTTGGGGATGAGATAAGAAAATTTATGATTATGGCAGCTTTAGCTGATGGCTCCATTTAAAACATTTTTTTTGACAAATGTAGGGGACCTGGGGTCTCCTTTGAATCCACAGCTGAGCTTGCAGTGATTAGTCAAACATTTTTTGAGAGGAATCAATATTAACAACTAAGTTTAATCTTTAATGCGCGTAAAATCTGCCCATATGTATTTTATTTGTGACAAAAATGTACCATTAAATAATATAAACATATTGTATTAAAACAATAAAATAAATTATTTAAATTAAAAAAACTTATAGTTTATAATTGATACATTAGTTACAAAAAATGATAAACATTTATAACTAAATTAAAGCAGTCACTCTGTGTAGATCCAAGAATTTGAAATAGATGTACCAGAGAGAGACTTTGACCACCATGGTTGGGGATGAGATAAGAAAATTTATGATTATGGCAACTTTGCTGATGGCTCCATTTAAAACATTTTTTTTGACAAATGTAGGGGACCTGGGGTCTCCTTTGAATCCACAGCTGAGCTTGCAGGGATGAGTCAAACATTTTTTGAGAGGAATCAATATTAACAACTAAGTTTAATCTTTAATGCGCGTAAAATCTGCCCATATGTATTTTATTTGTGACAAAAATGTACCATTAAATAATATAAACATATTGTATTAAAACAATAAAATAAATTATTTAAATTAAAAAAACTTATAGTTTATAATTGATACATTAGTTACAAAAAATGATAAACATTTATAACTAAATTAAACCAGTATTTATTCACTTTCATGTAACAGGCTCGGCCGGAAGAGTCAGCCGATGCTCAACATGACCATTACGAAGGTGTCCATATTCAAATTTGATTCGTAACTCTCCTATTTTAGATTTTGGCAGAATATCAGGAATCCATTCAATGATAAAAGGTGTTGGTTCCCTTTGGTCAGGTGACGTATTACCTGGAAAAATAATATAAGAGAAGTTAGGTTAATAAAAAAAGGCAAAAAGGTGTACACGAGCTAAAATCCATTCGTAACATATGGCATAAGCAAAGAGAATAGAACTGCAAGAGGTCCCACTGCCCCGATTTTTATGCAGGTAATGGAACTTTTAAAAAACTTCAACTACGAGATAGGGGCGTCCTATTTGATTTTGAATAGAGCTTGAAATGTTCTATAGACGCAGCAGACATTCGATACAAACGTCTTTTAATTCTTTTGAAGGACGCCCTCTAGTTCGTAGTAGCACTTTTTTAGGATAGGATAGCGTTCCAACAAAACTCCGAAAGTCGGACCTCTTGCAGTCTTATACTCTTTGGCATAAGAACTTAACTCTCATGTACAGTGGAGGTAATTGACAAAATTTTACCACAAATGTTCATGAGTTCCTTGTAGGCCATTTTTAGTTGAGAAAAAAATTGCATGGTCATTGCAGCTGTGTGTGTAAACTCTCTGAAGTCCTGGAATAGCTTGAATGAATTTTGTATCTTTATGTGAGTTACAAACTTATAATTAAAAATTTGAATGAGAAAAACATTTCTGTCAATTAATGGGCAGTTAAATAATACCTTTCACCTAATTATACTTTTGCACAGAACTTAAATTGGCTAGTAATCAATTTATAAGGATTCTATGGAAAAATGTCTGTAAATCAGTAAAAAAAATTGTTTTTATCTGTTTTGGTTCAAAGTTAATAACCTATTTGATCCATTTAAACAAGCTATTTAAAATTTTAATTTGATTTTTGAGATATTTTCCATTCTTTTTGGGAGACAGTGCACCTTCAATGAAAGTCATACTTCTATCTGTTACAACTTACCAACTTTTAAGTAAGTTTTCAATTCACACGGTTTTATTGCCACTTGGCCATCAGCTTTCCGGAATGACTCAGCTATAGTTTCAACCTCCACTTTTGGTGTTACATATAAGAGATATTTTCCGTCACGATCTTGAACAAAACTTCTAGTAATATCGAGTGGCATCTGGAATAAAAGAAAATAAGAACACTTGTATAATCACAAATTCTATATAATTTTATTTTATTTATTTTCAATTAAGTTTAGTCTCAATATTAAAAGTGTGAATACTGAATGCAGGTCTATTAGATTTTTGTTAGTTCAAAACTGTTTCGCCGTACAAATCCTCAATCTTTTAATAAACCCAGGGCAAACTGGAACATTATTTCATATCATGCTTTAATAAGTTTGTTAATAAACTTGCACTCATTCTTGAGTTTTCCTTCTTCATTATCCTTTTCAAATATAAATATTATCATCTTCACGCCAAATAAGCTATTCAAAATTTATAAAATATAAAGATCTGTACACACTATAAAATTCTATGTGACAATATAGTGTGATGTGCCCATATATGGGGCATGATGATCTCATATTAAATCCAAAAATTAGAATATCAGTCACTTGTCACATAAATTTGATAGTGTGCAGAAAGCTTAACAATGTACGTAAAAGCTAGTCCACATCACGAGCACTTTGAGAACATTTCGGTATAAAGCGCTATATAAATGTAACTACATTATGTTAATAACAGCAGGACAGTATTCGGTATTTGTTTACCTCAGGTGTGTCAAAGATTGATTTAACATGCAGTATACTTGTTATATGCCAGGTGTATTTTGAGAATGTGCCGAGGGGTAGCGCATCTTTGCGTATAAAGGCAGTCGTCGAGTTTGGAAGGCGACGCTTTTTACTTCCTGCTGATATTCGTTGTTGAAGGCAATCAAAAAACACCTGTGGAACGTGGAATACCAGAGGTTCTGGATTTCCTGAAGAAAGACAAAATAATCTGTCACAAATTGTAAAAGGGGTCTCCAATTCAAGACCCCTTGTAATTCCTACACCCCTCTAATTCGAGACCACTTTTTCGATGAACCAAATAACAATCGTCAATCGTGTAACACAAAACTAACTTTCTAAGTGGAGACCAAACCCGAAGACCACCCCAAATTTTGCAGGTCCCAATGCAGTCTCGAACTGGAGTGCAAACTGTATTAGTTTTTATTTTTTTATTTTAATAGTATTTGACAGGGAATTTGAGTTTTGTGTGAGTCAGATCGAATTTCATACCCGCCAGTGCAATATTTGTTTCTGTCTTGGTTAGACACTCTAATTACCTGGTCCTTTTGATGGGACGTTAAGTTGTTGGTATTTCAGATTTCTTTTATCCGAAAGGAAATTACAGTACAGTAAGTGCAAAAAAAAAATAATATAATAACAAAATAATAATAGTAGTAATAAAAATAATACAATACTAGATATATAAATACTCTAATAATAATAATAATAATCATAATAATAATAATAGAATAATATAGATAAATACTAGAAAACAGTAATGAATGTTCAGTGCTAAAAAAAACATCAGTACATACCATCGAATTGGAAGTGCATGGTTTGATTAACTCTTTCGGTGACGCTACCAAGCCAATCCACAAATGTTATAACTGGAATAGCACCCTCGACACTCAGAAAGGTTGGCTGTTTTGCAGGACTACAACTTGCCTGTGGTGTAACCTTCTTGCTTGGAGTTCGTTTCAGTTGCGCATTCGAATTAGCACTGTCATGCAGCGTTAGTAAAGCACTACTTGCCTGCACTGTAGATTTTTTACAATGAAGATTAATTTCAGCACTGCCTTTCTTTGCTAGCATATATTATTTGTTTTCCATAGCATACAACACTTTTAATACTATATAGAATAGTTAGCTATGAGTGATTAATGGACAAAAATATACCCTATTTTAAATATCCTTCAAAATCCTGAATAGTCTATAATGGTAATGGCTGTGTACTTGTATAGCGCATATTACTGGACATCATATATCGAATCATTCTTTATTCAAAACAATAAAATGAATGTAACATAAAACCAAGGTCATGACATTATCAAACACATGCAAGGTATCACAAAGGAACAACAAAAATTAAAAGTGTTAAAAAAAAATATATAAAACATGGTTATTTAAAAATGTTTAAAATGAGTAAAAAAAAGCATCAATACAAGAATTGGTTGGCAATTCACTTACTCAGACGAGTGTCTGGTGTTCCAAATGGCTACTGGTCAATGTTGGCACGCTAATTTGTTATTATATATACAGTGATGTTTTACATAGTTGACTACTTAATTGAAAAGTTTGAAAAGTGGATAGCCTCCCCACCAATAAACTCAGTATGGTAATACAGTACATACATAGCAATTAATGAAAGCAATACCTAGAGTATCATCTTTTCTTTTCCTCTTTACACCAGCAGAATCCTCTTCCAGGGCTGCAGCTGCCTGCAACACTTGTTCATCTGATGGAATTAATTTCTCCAGTCCTGAAACATAAAGAAAACTATCATATTTTTTATATGTAATTAAAGAAAACTATCATATTTTTTATATGTAATTATGTACGATGTGGTGATTTTGTAACAATGTCATCGCACTACTCATGTAACACATCTTACGCTGTCCCAAATAGCGTCTTGACAAGAAGTAAAATTTGATTGACCTTGAACTTCAGAGTACAAATTAGAGTACAAATTACTCCAGTAGAGCAAGATTTTTCAACTTCAAAGATCGTGCTCTACCATACTGTTCTGTAGCAAAATTTCTTGTGTTTAGACAACAGACTCACTACTTGTTGTAGATAACAGACTGACTATCCTGTTGTGTCTAGATAGCAGACTGACTACCGTGTTGTTACAAGAGAGGTTAGATCTATTTCCCCAAATAACCCCCCCCCCCTCTTGATATCCCTTTTGGCAGGACTAACCGTTTTAGAAATTCTCCGGTTCTTACTATTTGTAAAATTCTAAATAAGTATAGGTAAACACATTGCTAATTACTTTAAATTTCAGTGCAGTAGTTGATCTTAATCTCGTATATGTTTTTTGGTGGTTGTGGTTTTTGTGATGCTAACGTTTTTTGCTCGTTTTGTTTTGTGGTTTGTTTAATGTAAGTTCCTTTGCTGGTGTCTTGTATCTGCGTTTTTTCTTTTGTGTGTTTTTTGTGTGTGTAATATGTTTCCTTTTTTTTTTCTTGTTTTCTGGGGATTTTTTATGTCAATTTGCAAATTTTGCAAATTTTGATGATTGTGTATATATATTTCTCATTTTAAATTAAATTTTTAAGTAAATGGATTGTAATATTTGTTAATTTTGATGACCTTGTATATATAACTTTTTTCAATAATTTATTCTATAGTTTAATTGGATTGTGAATTTGATTAATTTCTTTTTTTGTATTGTTGCTACCTTTGGTGTAATTTTTTCTGATATTTATAACATATATATATATATTTTTTGTAAACCAATGATTTCAGCCTACGGGCTGCCTGTTTTGGTGTTATATTTTGATACCGTGAATAAATAAAAATAAATAAATAAATAAACTATCTATTGTGTCTGGATAGTCTGACTACAGATAAAATGTTGTGTCTAGAAAATAGATCGACTCACCTGTTGTGTCTAGATGGATGTAATATTCAAATTCTTTGGCTAATGTTTCCTCACTGGCAAAGGCACAAATACATGCATAAAAATGTACACATCTCCTCCTCTGATCTTCCCCTCCAATCAAATTCTTAAAGAAGTTCTTGAATTGTTTGCACATACACTGAAAACGATGTTCAGTTACGCCATTTTTTTTATTACTTGAGGTGAAAGAAAAGTGCAAAAATCCAAGGGGCTGCTTCGGATTGGTCTTGCACTTAACAACCATGACATTCTTAGTGACCCTCTGCACCAGTGGGCCAGTTGTTTCCGTTGCCAGTAGCCATATGGACTGCTTGATTTCATTTGATACCGGTAATGCATTTAAGACCGAGTTCTTAAGAGTCAGTGGCGTAGCTTCTTCTTCGCAGTCCAGGGCTAAGCGTATATGTGGGCAAGGAGGTGGTAAAGTCTGTATTTGGTTTACCATCACAGGGGGCTTCTGACATGTTTCTACAAAGCAACGTCCGCTCTGTGAAACCAAGTTATTCCAAGCATCAACATTATGTGCTTGGCCCGCTAACTCCTGTTTCAAGGGCAGCTGTACAAACCCTCTATAATCTGGACCCCGATCTCGCAAACGTACGGAAAATACCTGAACCGTGGAGCCTGTAATAACTTTGACGGCATCAGCACTATGTCCGCTTTTGCGTCCGTTTCCTTTGAGAACCATATTGCAGGCTTTGTTTTTGCAGCTTAGTCCACGTATTCCATTGTATGTACCACAATTTGGACATTTCTTTACACCTCTCAAAGTGGGCCTCCCCAGATCTTTGAACATAGCTAATTTCTTATCCATTTTAGCAGCACCTGTTTCAAGAAAAAACAAATTGTATACATTTTATTTACAAATCATTTAATATCCATTTGCGACACTCCCATGTCCCATAAATTTAGCATTAAATTTTATAATTACTGTACTATTAATTACTGAAATAATACAGCAGAAATATCCTGTACAATATACCATTCCTTTGCTTACATCCCCGAAGGTAGGCATCAAGGATTGCTCCAGACTGAAGATGGATGGTGAACCAGGTGACTGTGAATTTCTATTGTGCCAATAGCTTATATTAATATTGCCGTTGTTTAACGATTACTTACTTCCTAGTTTTATGTGCACGATACAAGCACTTTGCAACCGCAAGAGAAAAGCGTTATTTATTTGAATAAATGCCCCTTTTATTCATTTAAATCTGGGCATTTATTCAAATAAATAGGGTAAATGATAATGTGTTATTATTATCATTATTAAATCAATTTATGTATACTCAAGTTAAATCTACATAGGTGATGGTTGTTCTTTTGACATGTCGTAGTGCATTAATAAGATAGTGGAACTGAGGTTAGGGTCGAGTCAGCTTCACCAATTAACACCTCAGGTTTTCTACGGCAATTATTTTTGTGTGTAGTTTACAGGAATTCCTGGGACTTGGATCATATGGCTACAGTTGTAGATGGTTTTGTCAACGATCGAAGATAAGAAATTTTGTTTGTTCGCAGGTGTTGCTGACAAGCTGTGATTAATATTCTGTAGCCCGAGGCCCTTTAGCAAATAAAAAGGATAGCAGTTTTGCTAGATTTGGCGACATCAAGCAACCGAGTCAACTATTTTAATAGTAGAAGCTAGGTCTTAGCTACCCCTGCTACTGTGCATATTAATTCCATGTAGTAGCACTGTAGGCCTACTACAAATAAAGTTTACTCTCACTGATAATTACAATTGCCATGTTGCTTGGTTGGCTATTTCATCCTGTTACTTCATTAATTAAAGTCCTAGCTAAAATTTATTGAATTCGATCCAACTCGGCCACAAGTCAACTCGGCCACAAATCAACTCGGCCGCAAAAAGTTTGGCTGCAGTCAACTCGGCCACAAGTCAACTCGGTCACAAGTAAACTCGGTCACAAGTAAACTCGGCCACTCGGCCGCAATTATTATTATTGCTGTTGTTATTGGTGTCATTGTTGTTGTTATTATTGTTGTTTTTATTACCGTTAGTTTTAATATTAATTATTAGTCTTAGCATTAACATTATGTATTGTTTTAATTTTTGCTGATTTTATTATTGTTACCATATAATAAAAAAATTCTCAATTTTTTAAATTCATATTATTATTATATATTAGACTTAGTATTATTATTTTAATAGTAATTTTAAAAATGTTGTCATTGGTGTTTTATTGGTATTTTTCTCATATTATTATTATTATTGTTGTTGTCACCTTTATTATCGAAGTAGGCCTAATATTATAAGTATCATAACTGTCTCTTATCCACATCTGTCCAGGGCTAAGCGTATATGTGGGCAAGGAGGTGGTAAAGTCTGTATTTGGTTTACCATCACAGGGGGCTTCTGACATGTTTCTACAAAGCAACGTCCGCTCTGTGAAACCAAGTTATTCCAAGCATCAACATTATGTGCTTGGCCCGCTAACTCCTGTTTCAAGGGCAGCTGTACAAACCCTCTATAATCTGGACCCCGATCTCGCAAACGTACGGAAAATACCTGAACCGTGGAGCCTGTAATAACTTTGACGGCATCAGCACTATGTCCGCTTTTGCGTCCGTTTCCTTTGAGAACCATATTGCAGGCTTTGTTTTTGCAGCTTAGTCCACGTATTCCATTGTATGTACCACAATTTGGACATTTCTTTACACCTCTCAAAGTGGGCCTCCCCAGATCTTTGAACATAGCTAATTTCTTATCCATTTTAGCAGCACCTGTTTCAAGAAAAAACAAATTGTATACATTTTATTTACAAATCATTTAATATCCATTTGCGACACTCCCATGTCCCATAAATTTAGCATTAAATTTTATAATTACTGTACTATTAATTACTGAAATAATACAGCAGAAATATCCTGTACAATATACCATTCCTTTGCTTACATCCCCGAAGGTAGGCATCAAGGATTGCTCCAGACTGAAGATGGATGGTGAACCAGGTGACTGTGAATTTCTATTGTGCCAATAGCTTATATTAATATTGCCGTTGTTTAACGATTACTTACTTCCTAGTTTTATGTGCACGATACAAGCACTTTGCAACCGCAAGAGAAAAGCGTTATTTATTTGAATAAATGCCCCTTTTATTCATTTAAATCTGGGCATTTATTCAAATAAATAGGGTAAATGATAATGTGTTATTATTATCATTATTAAATCAATTTATGTATACTCAAGTTAAATCTACATAGGTGATGGTTGTTCTTTTGACATGTCGTAGTGCATTAATAAGATAGTGGAACTGAGGTTAGGGTCGAGTCAGCTTCACCAATTAACACCTCAGGTTTTCTACGGCAATTATTTTTGTGTGTAGTTTACAGGAATTCCTGGGACTTGGATCATATGGCTACAGTTGTAGATGGTTTTGTCAACGATCGAAGATAAGAAATTTTGTTTGTTCGCAGGTGTTGCTGACAAGCTGTGATTAATATTCTGTAGCCCGAGGCCCTTTAGCAAATAAAAAGGATAGCAGTTTTGCTAGATTTGGCGACATCAAGCAACCGAGTCAACTATTTTAATAGTAGAAGCTAGGTCTTAGCTACCCCTGCTACTGTGCATATTAATTCCATGTAGTAGCACCTGTCTCTTATACACATCTAGATGTGTATAAGAGACAGAGCTAATGTTGCTATGAGGTATATTTGATTAAGATCAAATTGTCTAACGTGGTTATAACTCATTTGGTGCATCTATGGCTATAATTTCTATAGTCTGTATAACTTAAATTCATTATGATATTTTATTTATTATTATATATTAT